CTGCTGGTTTGAATGTAAATTAATACGACCCCTAATGAAAATACTGTGGAGATTTCTCAATGAACTAAAAGTGTATCTACCATTCAATCCAGCAATCCAGCCACGGGTATCTACCCAAAGGAAAAGAAGTCATTATATCAAAAAGACACCAGCACACTTAGGTTTATCACAGCACAGTTCACAACTGCAGATACATGGACTCAACCTAAATGCCCATCAATAGATAAGTGGATAAAGAAAATTTGAGATGTGTATGTGTGTATATATATATGTGTGTGTGTATATATATATATGCGTGTATACACACCCCCCACACGCCATAGAATACTGTTCAGCCATAAAAAAGAATGAAATAATTTCTTTTGCAGCAAATTGGATGGAACTGGAGGCCATTATTCTAAGCAAAGTAACTCAAATGGAAAAGCAAATACCACATGTTCTCACAAGTGGGAGCTAAGTTGTGGGTATGCAAAGGCATACACTGGTAACGACAACATTGGAGACTAGGAAGAGTGGAGGTTGGGAGGGGGTGATGATGAAAAACTACATATTATGTACAATGTCCACTACTCCGGTGATGGGTGCACTAAAATCCCAGACTTCACCAGTATACAATTTATCCATGTAACCGAAAACTACTTGTACCCCTAAAGCTAATGAAAAAACATTAACAAATAAATTGAATACTTATGTAGTTCGGAGGAATAATAAATCAGTACTAGAGTTTGGAACAGTAAAGAAGTCACATCTGAAAACTTGTCCACATTTTCTGAGTATTATGCAGAAATGACGGGAAGTTGTGAGGAAAGTTCTTGCCACCTACCATTGCTGCATCAGGCTCAGGTCTCCCAGGTCTCCTGGGATAACTCTCTGTTGGTGGAATTTCCAGCACGGTTTGGGTAGGTAGGGAGGACCTCCAGGATCCGCCACATGGACAACCACTTATTCCCCAGCCACAAGCCTCCCTTGGGTAAGCATGAATTTCTGGCTGTAGCATCCACGTGCACCAACCCCCATTGCACTTTCAGCTCCTAACAAGCTGAGGGGATAAAGTTTTACTTTGCTGGTTACATTTGCTCCTTTATGCCTGTTCTACAGAGACTCACCGTGGTGAACAAAACTATTCAACTATCTTTAAAATGATGCCTGAAAAGTCTCTTGAGGGACGCGTGCCCCTATGCTTCTGAGTGGCATCTTTCTAAGAAGACAGGTTTCCCTTCATGCCCCACGTTGTGCACTTGGATGCTTTTTATACTTTTCTCACCATACCGTGCGCTGGGCTTGCTGGGACGGTCTTCCCGTTTTCCCACCATACCGTGTGTGCTGGGGTGTTCTTCATGCTTTCTCACAATGCCGTGTGTGCTGGGGCATGCTTCACGTTTTCCCATCATGCCTTGCATGCTGGGACGTTCTTTCCGTTTTCTCACCATGGTGGGCATGCTGGGGCGTTCTTCAGGCTTTCCTGCCATATTGTGCGTGCTGGGACGTTATAATTATGTTTTCCCACCATGCCGTGCGTGCTGGGGCATTTTTCACGTTTTCCAACCATGCCATGCTTGCTGGGGAGTTCTTCAGGCTTTCCCTGCCTTACTGTGCGTGCTGGGACGTTCTTTACGTTTTCCCGTCATGCCGTGCATGCTGCCACGTTTTTCCTGTTTTCCCACCATCCTGTGTGTGCTGGGACGTTTTTCACGTTTTCCCACCATGCTGTGCGGGCTGGGATGTTCTTCAGGCTTTTCCTGCCATACTGTGCCTACTGGGACGTTCTTTATGTTTTCCCAACATTCTGTGTGTGCTGGGATGTTTTTCACGTTTTCCCACCATGCTGTGCGGGCTGGGGTGTTCTTCCGGCTTTCTCTGCCATACTGTGCATGCTGGGACATTCTTTATGTTTTCCCATCATGCTGTGCGTGCTGGGACATTCTTTTCATTTTCCCACTATGCTGTGTGTGCTGGAAGCTTCTTCATATTTTCCCACCATGCCATGCATGCTGGGGCATTTTTCATGTGTTCCTGCCATGTTGCATGTGCTGTGAAGTTCTCTGGCTCCTCCCCCACTGCTGTTTTTCCCCCACTCCGTTGGGTGATAACTTACACAGGGTCTCTCTCTTGTGGGCCTCGTTCTGCGTCTCTGGCCCCCTCTGAATTTCCTTTGCAGGTTTTGTTTTTTGGTTTGTTTCCACACACCTCTTCAATATCTGTGGACTCAGGGGTCTTCGTTTTTGACCTTTTTCTCCTCTCAGGTCAGCGTTGGCTAGCAGAGCTCGTCCCCTCTGTGGCTTGCTCTGTTTCCAGCCTGCTGGGATCCATGTCTCTGCCAGAGGCTCTTCCTTTAGACCGTGTGTGCCAGGTCCCCTGCACCCGTGCTTGATGGAGCCCTTACAAGCAGCGAGACCCGCACCCCCCATCTGCCTGTTATACCCATTCTTGCGGTGCTGGTTCCCCTCCTTACTGAGCGTCTAGACAGGATTATATTTTCAAATTACACCATGCATATTTTACTAAAATATTCAATAGATTCAGTTAAACACTTAGTAAGTTTTTCTTTTTTTTTAGTTTTTTCACATGCAAGAATTCAAGAAATTATTTTGGCGTGAGCCCCTCCCTTAACAACCTAATGAGCCATTCTGACTTGTCACAGAGGTAGCCTGAAGCGTCATTCCTAGAAAATGATATTGGTGGGCCCGAAGTCCCACAGGCGTGTCCCCTTAAATATATGTAGATTATGAATCTTTGAATGTTCTAATCTGATTGGAGGTTCCTCTTTTGGTTGGCTTACGTGCCTAATATTTGACTATTTAATCCATCAAATGAGGAAAAATTAAGAAGAAAATGACTGAGTGGAGCCCATAACAAAACAATGCAAAGCAGAAGTGGCACCTTGAAGCAGAAAGAGCGCATTTAGGTGCTGAATTGATATGAGTGTGCTGGTGGGTGGTTTTGTTACTGGGAACACAAAGGAGGAGAGTCTAGGACATTACAGAGGCATGTAAAAGCAGCAGGGCGGCCCAGATACCTGCACCTAATAAGCTTAGCTCAAACATCTGCATCCCGCTGCACACTGCATCTGCCTGTTTCCTAAAATGATCGGTTTGGATTTTTCCCTTATCATTGCTGTTACTTGATGAATCCACCCATCACAAGTCTAGCAGCAACCAAATGCTTCACTCAGTGCTGTGTCATTTTGCTGTGGACGTACACCCAGGACCTCCTTAGTTTTTTTTTTTTTCTTTTATCTACTCATCACTTTTTTCTCCAATTGCCTGAACATTTAAATGGGGCAAAACTTTATAGTTATTATGTTCTAAAGGGACCAAGAATTAATCAGGATATAGGTACTTCTGTCTTTTTGGGACATTTTCTCTAAAAAATACTAACAATTGCATTTCGTGACCCAGCTAGTGTATAAATATATTAGTACTATATTTTAAATCATCTTCTCTGACCCAACGGTTCATTTTTTTTTTTTTTTGCTTCTGAGTTTAGAAGAATTTAAAACAGTTTCATAAGCCCCTGAAAGTATCGTGGACCTTTTTCAGGTATCTGGGGTATGAATTACAGAGATACACACGAAATTCAATGTAATACCCCCATTGAAGAACTATCAGAAAAGTGGTGCATTCTTCTATATGATCACCCAGAGCATTCCACGAGTCCCGCCTCTGTGTGGTTTCCCTGCTATCTGTTGAGGAATTAGCTTATACAACTCCGTCTGTCATTTGTAATGCTGTTTGCAAGGACAACCATTGGATGTACCGGTAACTGCAAGGGATTAAGCGTTTCAGATTATTATATATTGGCAAGCTCTAAACTTTGACACAACTTCATTGATAATGGCCTCTAGTTGTGTTGTATCTTTAACAATGTTGAAAGTGATTTCACCTATTTTCTAAAAGTGAGAGAAAAATACATACATTTTAAGAAGGAACAATTAATATAGTTTAAATCACTCAAACCCAGACCTTTGGAAGGTGATTTTCCAAACTCCTGTTGTGGGATCCTCACTAATGTTCCGTGTGATTTGTCACCCCTCTACCTGTGTAAGAGGCTCCCACGGCCCCCAAGGCAGAGCCGGACTGCCCGTTGTCGCTTCCACCCTGCCGCCTGTCGCTCCCCATGGTCGTGCATTGTCACTGTGCCTCTGACCCTCTCTGTGCACATGTGATCTGTGGACGCTACAGAAAAGACCTTGAGTTCTTGCCAGATGGCCAGCTTCATGGGGATACGAGCCTCATCTGTCCTGCTGGGGGCTCAGGAGGTGCCTGCACAGATGTGCTGAAGGTATAAAAGCACATGGTCAGTGAAAGAACAGAACCAACCAATGACGATGCTGACTTATTCCAGGACAGATCAACCTAGTGGGGATTTTGCCCAGCTGTAAAGAAACCCTCAGTGGCCAGCCATGTGCAGAGCCCCAGGCAGGCAAAGCCGGGAAGGAGAGGTTCCTGCCTGGATCCCTGCTGCTGGTCCCCATGCTCTGAGTGGTCCCAGCCCTGAGGGGCCCTGGGTGCCCTGCGAAGGGCTCTGCGCTCCAGCCGCGAGGACTCTTTCAAACCAATGGAGTGAGATGTGTAAAAATTCAACTTACCTTTAAATGGGCAAATATTGTCAGACTGTTTAGTGTTTTGTCCCATTCAGTCTTTTTTCACCCTATCTGGGGGAAGGCATCAATCTAGTGGTGAAGACGGACTGAGCCAAGGTTCAGTTAGATGTGGTAGCCTGTTTTTGTTTCTCCCTATGACAGCTTGTCATTTGTGTAAGAATTGGTTTTTGGCTTTTGACGTGAAAGAAACCTTAACAATTTTCAAAATCATGGTAAGGAATCTGTGGTGTTCCTTGGGCTTTGTGCTGGGCTCCAGCACCTCTGCCTAAGGTCCTGGAGCTCCTGGTGAGCCCCTTCCCTCCTGGGCTCTGGCCCTCCCTGGACCCTGACCCGGGGAGCTGCTGCCTGTGCAGAGGAAAGGCCCGTGGCCATTTCATTACCCCTTGTCTATTTCCAGGGCCTGGACTTTGCCGGATTCACTGCACACATGTTCCTTGGGATTTGCCTTGTTCTCCTGGTCTCCTTTCCACTCCTCAGACTCCTTTACTGGAACAGAAAGCTTTATAACAAGGAGCCCAGTGAGATTGTTGGTGAGTACAGGTGCCTCTCATGTAGGCTCAGATTTCGTTACCATGATATTGTTTACCAGGGGAAGTTCTTATCAGGAAGTACCTGTCGATGGGTTGCTGGATGCTCAGTATCAGTGACTCTCCACGTCCGCCTCCTCGTATACGCTGTGTTTTCAGGGCTCTGTCATGAGCTGTGCATCTTCAGTTTTCTGTGAAGTGTACTGTGCTAAAATGTGGGGAGTTATGGCCACCATGTACAACTCATATGTCATAGCCTCCTAAAGCCATGTGTGTGTGGTACAAACACACTCACATAGACTGTAGTGCTGTAATAGTGTATCATAGCCTGAGTGCTAAATATGACTGCAAATACAGCAACATAACCCGGCACAGGAGGTGATGTGCCCTGTCAATCAAGAGCACATGCTAGGCTGGGCGCGGTGGCGCACGCCTGTAATCCCAGCACTTTGGGAGGCCGAGGGGGGCGGATCACCTGAATCAGGTCAGGAGTTTGAGTCCAGCCTGGCCAACATGGTGAAACCCCGTCTGTACTAAAAATATAGAAATTAGCTGGGCATGGTGGCACACGCCTGTAATCCCAGCTACTCGGGAGGCTGAGGCAGGAGAATTGCCTGAACCCAGGAGGTGGAGGTTGCAGTGAGCCGAGATTGTGCCATTGCGCTCCAGCCTGGGTGACAGAGTGAGACTCTATCTCAAAAACAAACAAACAAACAGCAGATGCTGAGCACCAGCCAGCAGGATGAGGGCTTAGGGCCATCTTATCATTTTGCACTTTCATCACTTAAACACTTTAGTAGATGTTTTACTGAGATCGTTGCTGACTGGAATGTATTAGGAACAATAGATTATTTGGGAAACAGCCAGCCTTGCCTTGGTGAGCTCCCGAATGTGGGTGCCGTGCAGGTTGCCTGGGTAACAGGGGCATCAGGCGACCAGCGCTCGGCAGATGCAGGCGCTCTTCTTCTTCTTCTTCAGGGGTTTTTAGAGCTCATGGATTGTATGTTGATCTCTCTCAGCCTCTGTGATTCCGCTGGCCTGTGTTTTACGGGATCTCAGTTTGTCTTTGTTCTGGATAAGACAGCCCGGTTCCATTTCCACACGGACGGCTGGAGGCCCTGACATGGTCCTGCCATACTCCAGTTCCTCCGATGCTGACTGTCCAAGACACATCTCTGTGACTTCCATGTTATTCAGAATCTGAGTGTTTAAAAAATCTCATCCAGAAAATATTGTTTCGTGTGCCTCCTCAGGATTCATCTGACAAAACGAGATTGTTCTTGGGAATGTCTAGTCATCTTACCTGGGGCCGGGACCCAGTTCAACCTGTAACAACTAGCTAGAGGTGTTTAGAATGTTTTATAATCAACTAATATATGCACAGTAAGATAAATTAATATATAGGTTTCATTTTCTGATGAAAATGTTAGAACCGAGGGAGAGCAAAGGAGACTGTGATCGTGATGGGTAATTGTCCTGTCTCTTGGAGCTTGCGTGTGCACAGCTGTGCCTTCGTGGAGAGCTCAGCTGTCATCCTGCCCAACTGTGCCAGCCTCTCCCAACCTCCCTGGTGATCACAGTGTCTAATCTTGAGAAGAATTTGGGATACACAGATTTAGATACATAGAAAATAAATCTCTGTAATCAATTCCTCACCATTCCTGAGTAGGGAACAGAGAAAAGCTCCAAGGGAAGTGGGGAGGGATGGTTGGGAGTGCGCACACCTGGTGAAGCTGGAGCCCTGCGGCAGTGCTGAGACCGGCGGTGCTGAGACCGGCAGTGCTGAGACCGGCAGTGCGGAGACCGGCAGTGCGGAGACCGGCAGTGCGGAGCGGGGCGATTGCTCTGCGCCACTGTTGGGCCTAGAGGGCTCCACATTTGGAGTCCTTGGTGAAACTGCAGATTCCTAAGCCCCACTCAACAGATCTGAGTTTAGCCTGTGGTAGCTACAGAGCAGTGTCAGAACAGGCTTGGTTTTGTTGCAGGGAAAAAGGAACCCTGAAATCGCAGTGACTTCCAGAACTGTGTTTTCTTCCTCTTGTTGGCTTTGTCCCCCTCGCCTCCTCCCCGGTGGCCTGGCAGGGGCCCTGATCATCATCTGTTCTTAGAGTCCTGAGCGGCTGGCCTTGAAGGCAGAGAGAATAGCATGGGCCCACTCTGCCATCGAGTGACACAGGCAGGCTCCACCCAGTCACAAGGGGCCAGGCCAGCCTACCAGGTGCTCAGAATGGGAGGGAGCGTGACATACATGGTGAAAGGAACAGTAATCACCAGCGCCTGTCCCTCTGATCACCAAATATTCAGCTCCTGCTGCTTCTTGCTAGTACTTTGTTAGCATTTTGCATTTGTGTACATTCGGGATCTTGATGTGGTTTCCTGTCTTGTAATGTCTTTTGTTGTTGTCCTCATAGGAGGAATACAGAAATATTTCATCATCTTCAAATTTTTGGAAGAATTTCTGTAGAATTGCTATTACTTTTTTCTTAAATGTTTATTTGGACATTTATAGGCCTGGATGTTTTTGTGGGAAGGTTTTTAACTACAAATTCAAATCCCTTAATATACATACAGGGATGGCTATTCAAGTAATCTGTTTCTCCTTGAGTGATTCTGGTAGTTGGTGTCTTTCGAGGAATTTGTCCATTTAATCTAAGTTGTTGAATATATTGTTATAAAATTGTTCATAATATTCTTTCATTTTCCTTTTAAGGGCTATCAAATGTTTGATAATGTCATATCTCTCATCTCTGATGTTGTAGTTTGTCTTTCTCTTTTTGGTTGGTTGATCAATTTTATTGATCTCAAAGAACCGGCTTTTGATTATATAGATTTTTCTCTACAGTTTTTTTTCTCTTTTAATAATGTCTGTTGTGCTCTTTATTATTTTTTTTCTGCTTACTTTTGCGCTTACTTATTTTTCTTTCACTAGTTTCTAAAACTAGAGGCTAAGATTATTGATTTCATGTGCCTCTTATTTTCTATTATAGGCATTTAGTGCTCTAAATTTCCTTCTAACTGTTACTTTAGTGACCTCTCACTAATTTATTAAATATTTCATTTTCATTCAGTTCAAATTATCTTTTTATTTATTTATTTATTTATTTTTTGAGACAGAGTCTCGCTCTGTCGCCCAGGCTGGAGTGCAGTGGCTGGATCTTGGCTCACTGCAAGCTCCGCCTCCTGGGTTTACGACATTCTCCTGCCTCAGCCTCCCGAGTAGCTGGGACTACAGGCGCGCACCACCACGCCCGGCTGGTTTTTTTGTATTTTTTAGTAGAGACGGGGTTTCACTGTGTTAGCCAGGATGATCTCGATCTCCTGACCTTGTGATCCGCCCGTCTTGGCCTCCCAAAGTGCTGGGATTACAGGCTTGAGCCACTGCACCCGGCCCAAATTATCTTATAATTCATCTTTTTATTTCTTCTTTGATCTTTGGATAATTTAGATGGTTTATTTACCTTCCAAGTATTTGGGAAAGTTTTTGCAGTTACCTAATTTAGTTCCAGTATAGTAAGAGAATGCATTTCATAAATCTTGAATCCTTTAAAATTTATTGAGACCTGTATGGCTATAGAATGTGGTCTACGTTTGTAACTGTTCTGTGTGTACTGGAAATGAAAATGTATTCTGCTCTTGTTGGGAGGAATGTTCAATGATGTCAATTATGTAGCTTAAGTCAGATTGGCTGATAATGTTATTCAAGTATTCTACGTCCCTGCTGATTTTCTATCTACTTGTTTTATTAATTATTGAGAGATGGATACAGACGTGTCTAAGGGTGATTATAGATTTATTTCTCTTTGTAATTCTATCATTTTGCTTTATGCATTTTAAAAGTTTACTATTAGGGCACATAAATATTTAGGATTGTTCTTTCATATTGATGAATTAACACCTTTATTATTATAAAAACAATCTTCATGATCCATATTAATATTCTTTGCTCTGAAATATACTTTGTTGTTGATATAACAATTTCATTTTTCTCTTGACTAGTGTTAGTGTGGTATATCTTTTTCCATCTTTTTACTTTTAACTTATGTATGTCTTTAAAGTACAGTTCTTGTAAGCAGCATATATTTGCATCTTGCTTTTTTATCTACTCTGATAGTCTGTCTCTTAGACATTTATATTTAATGTGCTTAGTGATGTGATTGAAGTGTAACATATTATTGTTTTATATTTGTGCTTCTTTTACTATTCTCTTCATTTATGCCTTCTTTTGAATTAATTATTTAAATATATTCTATATTTTCTCCTCTTTTTGTTGTTACTTTTTTGGGCTTTAATTCTGTTTTATGATTTTAGTGACTATTATACCACTAACTTTAAGCGATATTATACTACCTAGCATACAGTAGATGAACTTAACACTAGTATAGTTCCATTTCTGTCTTTCTGGCCTAGGCTGCTTCTCCTGAGATTCCTGGCTCTGAGCTCCTACTCTAGGCTTCCCTGGAAGCCATCACCTCCTGTGTGAGACCGCATCCCACACGGCACTTTCTTTGCCTGTTTGAAACATGTATGTGGCCACTCTTAAGTAATACCATCAGAAGTTGGTTGAGAAGCTCAGAAAGATAGAGGCTGATAGAGAGGTAAGAGATGGGATATCTGACGATGTCTCCTAGTAAGAGGCTAGAGTGGCAAAGACAAAGAGTTGAAACTTCTATGGCAGAATCAGCACAATGGTGCTGGTCCTTTGGGGTTTTGAGTCTTCTCTGAAGATCTTTGACATCTTTAGTTCTATTCTGGAGGCCACAGGGAACTACTGGTTGTTTGAAAGGAGGAATTTATCTCTCTGTCATCTATTTATCTATCTATAATCTGTCATCTAATCTAGGAAATGATAGATCTAGGAAGATAATAGCTAGATATCAGTTATCTTCTGATCATCTAGGAAGGTGATAGACAGATTTATTATTTTAATTAATTAATTAAAAAAAATTAATTATTTTATTTTTTAATTACACTTTAAGTTCTGTGCTACATTTGCAGAACATGCAAGTTTGTTACATAGGTATACATGTGCCATGGTGGTTTGCTGTACCCATCAACCTGTCATCTACGTTAGGTATTTCTCCGAATGCTCCTAGTGCTATCCCTCCCCTAGTCTCCCACCCACTGACAGGCCCCGGTATGTGATGTTCCCCTCCCTGTGTCCATGTGTTCTCATTGTTCAACTCCCACTTATGAGTGAGAACATGCGGTGTTTGGTTTTCTGTTGCTGTGTTAGTTTGCTGAGAATGATAGTTTCCAGCTTCATCCACGTCCCTGCAAAGGACATGAACTCATACTTTTTTATAGCTGGATAGTATTCCATGGTGTACGTGCCACATTTTCTTTATCCAGTCTGTCATTGATGCGCATTTGGGTTGGTTCCAAGTCTTTGCTCTTGTGAACAGTGCTGCAGTCAACATATGTGTGCATGTGTCTTTATAGTAGAATGATTTATAATCCTTTGGGTATATACCCAGTAATGGGATCGCTGGGTCAAATGGTATTTCTGGTTCTAGATCCTTGAGGAATTGCCACACTGTCTTCCACAATGGTTGAACTAATTTACACTCCCACCAACAGTGTAAAAGCATTCTTATTTCTCCACATCCTCTCCAGCATCTGTTGTTTCCTGACTTTTTAATGATCACCATTCTAACTGGTGTGAGATGGTATCTCATTGTGGTTTTGATTTGCCATTTCTCTACTGACCAGTGATAATGAGCTTTTTTCATGTGTTTACTGCATAAATGTCTTCTTTTGAGGAGTGTCTATTCATATCCTTTGCTTTTTGATGGGGTTGTTTTTTTCTTGTAAATTTGTTTAAGTTCTTTGTAGATTCTGGATATTAGCCGTTTGTCAGATGGATAGATTGCAAAAATTTTCTCCCATTCTGTAGGTTGCCCATTCACTCTGATGATAGTTTCTTTTGCCGTGCAGAAGCTCTTTAGTTTAATTAGATCCCATTTGTCAATTTTGGCTTTTGTTGCCATTTTCCTTTTTTGAGATGGATCCTTGCTCTGTTGTGCCCAGGCTAGAGTGGAGTGGCACAGTCTTGGCTCACTGCAACCTCCACTTCCTGGGTTCAAGCAATTCTCCCACCTCAGTCCCCCAAGTAGCTGAGATTACTGGCGCCTGCCACCATGCCCAGTAATTTTTTTGTATTTTTAGTAGAGAAGGGGTTTCACCATATTGGCCAGGCTAGTCTTGAACTCTCAACCTCAGGTGATCCGCTTGCCTCGGCCTCCCAAAGTGCTAGGATTAAAGGCCTGAGATAGATAGATACAACAAGTGGTGTTTTATGATTAACCAGGGGCAGATTGGTAGGAAGTGACTGTAGTTAAAGGTTACTAAGGAACAGTAAGAATTAAGAAATGTGAGAGGGTGAGGCCTGGACAAGCAGGTAACCTAGGACAGGAAGAAGCAGACGAGGCAAGAGCTGTGCCAGCATATCCTGGGCTGCTCCTGAGGCTCACACTGCCCTAGCATATGTTTATTTATGATTTATCTTACATCTCTTTCCAGTTTTGGAGGGCCATCTTGTAACTTACCAATTAAATTTTATCCTTTAGCATCAAACACAGATCTGACACCTGTGACACAATAATGTTAATGTGGAAATATAAAAGAGAATGACATTGACAAGACCAGGATGACATTTCAGTCTTGTGTTCCTGGAAGAACAATTGCATTATATAAAAACTAAGCAGGTAAGGGTAGGAGAGAGACTTTATGGGAGGAAGATAAAGTGTTCAGCTATGAGTTTGCAGCACACGGTTCAGAGGGAAATATTGGTAGCCGGCTGGGTCTGTGGTCTTGGACCTCGGCAGAGTAGACAGGGTGGGGAAATGAAGAGGAGGTGCAGAGGAAGCCTGGGAACTGATACGTGGACAGGTTTTGGTAAACTGAGTTCTGGGTGAATGGAGTGAGCTCCCTTCTCCTGGGCAAAATCCCTCCCTACTAAATTCCTTCCTAATTTGTGTATTACATTCCACAACTAGGAAGACAAAAGCGTATTACCTGAGTATTAATGCGTGGGCTGATCTGAGTAGAGCAGCACATCCTTTTTGGTTTGATGGGTTAGAAGGCAGGTAAGTGCTGGGTGCACACTGAGGTGGCTGAGGCTCCCCTGGAGAGTAAGCACCTGCAGTCGTTGCATAGGGACTGGAAGGCCAGCTCCACCAACACAGCCTTGGTTCCCAGGCTCTGCTTCTCCAACATAAAGGCGTGGAGAGACTTCCAGCCTGCACCCAGCAGCTGGCACCAGAGATGAACCATGCAGAGGTGTGAGCCTTTTAAAGCTGACGAGCCGCTTCAGAAAGTGGCCCTTCATGGCGATGCCTTTAGAGAACGGCTGGAGAGTCTCTGGTACTTTACGGACGGGGTTTTAGCAACATTTAGAGCACCGGGTGAAATACTAGCTCTGTCTGAACTCACACTGGAGACCTTCCACAGATGGTGTTTTGTGTTCAGTGTTTCAGAGAGTGAGTTCATTAGTTTTTTCCTTCACTTCCTCTTCCCCTTTCTTTTTATGTTATCATAGCCTCATAGGTGGTTTAACGAAGTGTGAGACTTTTCAAGAGGAAATGATGGATCTGTTTCTCTGAAGAGGCCTGTGAATTATACCCAAGTTTCTTTTATTTTAGTAAAGCTACAAAGCATCGATATGTGCTGAATGAAAACATATTATGTATCTTAGTTCTAAAGGTTTCATCTTGGTAGGGCTGAAGCTTTAGAGAAAGCCGTGTGCTAACTGGAATAGTCTGGTGCTCCCAGGCTCTGCGCGTTCTCTCTGAGTCTCCGCATGCTTCGTTTCCAGACTGCCTCCCTCTGCCTAATTCGTCTTTGTTGTTGCAGTAGGTCTGCCATGCCGTGGGTGAGGAGCACTCGCGTCCTGAGCAGAAGGGGCTGAAAGGTGGCATTTTCGCTTTCCACTGAACCCACCGTGTCCGTGCTGCTTCCCGGGTCTTTGGGTGATCGCCTTGAATCTGCCCCGAGCTGCTCTTCCGGTGCCCCAGCGCTTGCTTGAAAGGCTTTGTCTTTTCATCTTTAATTCGTGTGATAGGTAGTGTGGGGCATTGCACGTAAGGGGTGGTTCATGAAAATATTGTGCTTTCTTATATTCTTTTAATGGATATTTCAAGAAACATGTCATGTTTTTAACAGTAAAATAGAGGTTAAATGTAGGTTTTCATGAAATATTTGAATATCTTTTTTTTTTTTTTTTTGAGACAGAGTCTCGCTCTGTCACCCAGGCTGGAGTGCAGTGGCCGGATCTCAGCTCGCTGCAAGCTCCGCCTCCTGGGTTCCCACCATTCTCCTGCCTCAGCCTCCTGAGTAGCTGGGACTACAGGCGCCCGCCACCTCGCCCGGCTAGTTTTTTTTTTTTTGTATTTTTTAGTAGAGACAGGGTTTCACCGTGTTAGCCAGGATGAAATATTTGAATATCTTAAGAGGCCATGAATTGACACATCATTTCTCTCTACTCTTCTCTATCAGAAGGTGTCTGAATTCAGTGATGGGTGAAAATTCTGCTCGTTCTGTAGATTTCAGCATTTCCTCAGGTCGTCTACCTCTCTCGCCTGTGTTAGAGGCTCAGTGGGGCCTGGTTGGAGGGCGCCTCCCTGTCTTCTTCCGCCGCTTACCAGATGCCCTGCTGGGAGCCCTGAGCACCTTCTCCTGAGAATTACACTTGTGTTTTCAGTTGTCACTAGATCTGCTCCTGAAACCCCCTCAAAGATTGGGCAATGTCTAGATTTTGGCTGGAAGCAGATCCGAAATATTTCCTGCAAGAAGGGGAAAAGGTTGTTGGGCACTAGCTTTGATGTGTTTGTTCAAGAAAGGAATTTATTCTTCACGGAAAGGGTTGAAATGGCCTTACTTCACTTTTGTGATAATTTTTACATGTCAGCTTTGTCATCTGGGCTGCATGGCAATAGCTCGGGTGCTGAGAAGCTCTGGGTGACCCTGGGCTACCTGCATGTCTCGAGTGTGTGTCTGCTCCGTCAGGCCTCGGCTGTGTGGGGAGCAGAGGAGGGTGTTGCTGATGTCTGAGGTCGTGGGAAACTCAAGTTTCCCTTTTCTTTCTCTGCAGAACTGAAGCACGAGATTCACGTCTGGCGCCTGACCGCTCAGCGCATCAGCCCGGCCAGCCGCGAGGAGACTGCCGTGCGCCGCCTGCTGCTGGGGAAGGTGTTGGCCCTGGAGCACCTGCTCGCCCGGAGGCTGCACACCTTCCACAGGTACGGGGCGGGGTGCTGCTCAGACTGTGCCGGTGTGCAGCAGAACGTTCCATGGCCCTACAAAACAGCGACACTAGCTGTATACTAATATGTGATTTTTAGGTGACACACACTGTGCTAAGTGCATTTTATCTAACCCTCACTGAGCTCTGCAGGGGGTACACAGCCGAGTTTAAGGACAAAAACAAAACAAAACAAAATGAAACACAAAACCAGAGGCTCAGAGTTTGAGCAGCGTGCCCAGGGTTGTGCAGCTTGGAAGGAGTGGCGGCTGGGGATGGAGCTCACAGTCTCAACCGCTGGGCTGTCCCATCTCTCCACATGGTAATTGTTGCATGACAAAAACAAAAAACCATTAACGCAAAGACTAATCGGACAAAATATTCTGCCAGTAGTTGATTTTCAGGCACCCGAAAGACTATGAAAGCCCCACTCAATTTGTTTCCTGGCATTTGTTGTTAATCGAAGCTGGGACTTAAAGGGTAACCATGAATTGGTGTTTTTTCTCCTTGCTGTGACATGGTGCTGAGTTCCAAGCAGTCTTTGTTCTGGAAGCTCAGACAGAAGAAGCAGGAGCCTGGTGACCCCCCAAGGGATGCCGAAGCGGAAGCGTCCCCACAGCTGAGCTACGAGTGGGTGGAGGTGTCCATCTAGGCAAAGGGAAATGTGAACCCTTATGAACAAAGTCTAGAATGGTCTTGCATGTTGCCATTTGCTGAGCCCTGAGGGGTCGCCCTGCATGGGTGTCTCAGGGTCTGGCTGTTGGTGGGAGGATTCCCAGGCATTCCCACGGAGTCCCACACAATCCCGGGAGGAAGTGCTGGCTCTGTGGCATTGGCTCCATCCCCGGCCCAGGACCCACCTCGCCCAGCAGTGCTGGAGCAGCAGGACCAGTGTCCTCAGGCCACAGGGAGGCTCTGAGTTGCAGGCTGGGGAAAAAATGACCACCTTTGGGAGCAGGCGCAGATCTTAGAGGAAGACACTTTATAAATTAGAGGTAGAGTAAATTGTCCTGGTGTTGGGTGTTAAAGACACACTTAGTGCATCTCAGGTTACAAACATGAGGAAACGTGGGCTCCGAGGCTCACCACGTTCCCATCAGCTCATCTGGTGTCAGTCACACATGGGGAAACTGAGACCTGGGGAGGGCGTGGCTTCCCAAGGCCACACAGTTGCTGAGAAGCAGATTACCATGAAGGTGTCCTAAGGCAAGGTTGGGCTCTGCAGGTTTTATTTTTTTATTTTTTTGAGACAGAGTTTAGCTCTTCTTGACCAGGCTGGAGTGCAGTGGCATGATCTCGGCTCACCGCAGCCTCTGCCTCCTTTACCTCCTGGGTTCAAGCAATTCTCCTGCCTCAGCCTCCCAAGTAGCTGGGATTACAGGCAGGTGCCAACCCGCCTGGCTGATTTTGTGTTTTTAGTAGAGACGGGGTTTCTCCACGTTGGTCAGGCTGGTCTCAAACTCCCAACCTCAGGTGATCTGCCCGCCTTGGCCTCCCAAAGTACTGGGATTATGGGTGTGAGTCACCATGCCCCCCTGCAGGTCTTATTTTTACATTTTCTTTTTAAAAATTGTCCTCAGAATCATTCGACTGTGTTTGCTGTGATTCTTTGCGGCCCAGACCGGCTGTGAGGTCAGCCTCCTTTGATACTAAAACTGCATTCTTCATTGTGCAGCCCCTTTTCCCTAATTGGTGAAGGAGGAAGTCAGCCAGGAGGGTGGGCTGAGTCAGAAACATGGAAAAGGAGAGGCAAGTGGGAGCCACTAAAGGGGCTGAAACAGGCGGGAGGAGACCACCCCAGCAGGAGCCGCACAGACAGAAAAGCCTTCAAAGCCGATCTTCCCCAACCGCTGACCTCAAGCGATCCTTCCCCCTCGGCCTCCCAAAGTCCTCGGATTTCAGGCGTAGAAGTGATCACTGATTGATGAAAATCAACGTTAAAGCAAGTGACATTTCTTTTACCATGTTTTTCTTTAGTTGGTTGTAAGAGTTGTACAGGTTCAGTGCCCTCATCTTGGAAACAAAGAGATTCGGGAACGTAGAAGTGCACGTAAAGAGGAAAATAAAGAGGCTGACGGTCGCTGCCTTTGTCCGTGTGCTGATGTGGGGTTTTCATGAAGCGTCCCGTGCGCAAGCTGTCCCACACACCTCCTCACACACACTTCTTTCGTCATTCAGGCCATTATATACATATATTTTTTTTGGGAAAAGATAGAGTGAGCGCCCTTTCCAGCCAACCAGTGAAGCCCACTGACCCCCCGTGACTAGTCCTACCAGGCCATGTCGCAGACGGCGTCCAGGGACGAAGTGCTGGGGCTGCTGCTCCACGTGACCAGGGAAGTAACGAGTCTCTTCTTTTCTCTTTCAGACAGATCTCACAGGAGGACAAAAATTGGGAGACCAATATCCAGGAACTCCAGAAAAAGGTACGCAGCTTTCTTTTCTCAGGGATTTCTGATTCGGTTCTCCAAGAAGAGAGTGAGCAATGCCTTTCCTTTCCCTCACATGACCGAACGCCGTTTCTCTTTTTATTTCTGTGGTCGCACACAAGACATTGCAATTTATATGTTTGAGTGAATGGGGAGAAATGTTTTCCGGAGACAGCAGGCTGATCTTGTCAGGACGTGGAAAGCGAGCGTCTTCGTAGGGCCTTTCCCTTTCCCTGCGCGTTGCGGGGCCTGCCCTCTGAGCGGGTGTCCCTGACCACCAGCCCTCTCCTGGCCCCGAAGGGCAGGCCCGAGTTCACACTTTGAGGGGACGGCGAGGCGTGCTGCGTGAAGTGGAGCAGCTTTAGGGACGGACATAGGATGCGTGAGTGTCCTGCCGACGGCTCCGACTTCTTGGGGCAGAGCTTTGTTTTTTTTTTTTGGCTCTTTCTCAGCCCATTTATGAGCACAGAGGGCCCCTACCCAGTCGAGAGAGCTCTGCGCGAGATCTGCTGGGAGTCATCTGCATCTCGGTGACGTTTCAGATCTGTGTGGTTTATCTTCTAGGGAGAGACTGAACACCCGCTCTAATTATGACGGGCACACTCTATGTGCGAGTCAGGTGTTTCCTAACGGGGCTTCAGCACACCTCACGTCTCTTGTGTCTATTTTCCATAAAGATGTTGGATGTGATCTGATGAGGTGCCTCAGTGCCTTCACACTCTGTCCTATGTAGACGGTCAGGGTTAGAAAAGAAAGGTGTAGCTGTGATATTCTTGCAGGCCCCAAGTTCATACAGATTGTGCCTGCTTTGCTAGATTGTGGTGTTTTAGTCGTGAGCTGGAGAAGAACCGTGTGCCTCTCTGTGCACCTGCACGAGGACTACGGTGAGATGAAATGGAGAGGGAAGGCTTGGCAGCATCCCTGTATCACATCTAAGAATTCTGACAGAAGCGACCCTAGGGGGTGGTGTGTGTACGTGCCGTGGAATACTACTCAGCCATAGAAAGGAATGAAATAATGGCATTCACAGCAACCTGGATGGACTTGGAGACCAGTGAAGTAACTCCGGAATGGAAAACCAAACATCGTATGTTCTCACTTATAAGTGGGAGCCAAGCTACAAGGACACAAAGGCATGAGAATGATATGATAGACTTTGGGTACTTGGGGGGAGGGTGGGAGTGGGGCGAGGGATAAAAGACTACACATTGGGTACTGCGTACACTGCTCAGGCGATGGGAGCACCAAAAATCTCAGAAATCACCACTAAAGAACTTATCCATATAATCAAACACCACCTGTCTTCCCAAAACCTATTGAAATAAAAAAAAAAAAAAGAAAAAAGAAATGACCTCAGGTATCTAGAAGGAGCGAATGTGAATGCCGCCCGAAAACTCTCCACTTCCGTGAGCTGCAGGATGCTGGAATGCTCTTGGACCTGCCCGCTCCTCCACCTCCGATCTTCGCACTGGCCGTGGCAATAGCCGCTTTCTGTGGTTGCTGCAACCTCAGGGAAGGTTTGCAGTGCCTCCCTTCAAAGCCTGGTGAGAACCCACATCACTCTCCTCTGAGCATTTCAAATCCTTTTCCTGCCATGCTCCTGTGATCCTGATTGTTCAGCACAGAATCATGCAGGAACATCAGCCTTCCCCAGAGGGGTGACGGGGAGGATGAGAAGGGGCTGGCCGAGCCATGAGCCTTTGCAGTGGGCAGAGAGGGGCAGATGCTCACCAGTGGCCTCACTGCACATGGTGGAGGGGCTGTGTCAGAGCTGTTGTGACACGGAGGGGCTTACATGTGTTTTTGATGGCAGCAGCTTTACCTATGTGACCAGAGGAAGCAAGAGAGAAAATCTCTCTGTAGTTCTAGCTCTACCTCTGTGTGTCTATATCTACATGTCTGTATCTGTCCAAATCCAGATAGCTGTAGATTGCTGTGATGACAGATGTCTAGATCCACCTGCATCTACAAAGCTACAGATGTCAACACCCGTCATCATTGCTGTCTGCATCTATCCACCTAGACAGACTAGACAGATGGGTGGACAGGTGTGCTGGTGGGTAGACAGATGGGCGGACAGGTGTGCTGGTGGGTAGACAGATGGGCGGACAGGTGTGCTGGTGGGTAGACAGATGGGCGGACAGGTGTGCTGGTGGGTAGACAGATGGGCGGACAGGTGTGCTGGTGGGTAGACAGATGGGCGGACAGGTGTGCTGGTGGGTAGACAGATGGGCGGACAGGTGTGCTGGTGGGTAGACAGATGGGCGGACAGGTGTGCTGGTGGGTAGACAGATGGGCGGACAGGTGTGCTGGTGGGTAGACAGATGGGCGGACAGGTGTGCTGGTGGGTAGACAGATGGGTGGACAGGTGTGCTGGTGGGACCAGACTCAAGAAAGGATCTGATGCTTGCCAGGCGTGGTGGCTCACACCTGTAATCTCAGCGCTTTGGGAGGCAGAGGTGGGAATATTGCTTGAGCCCAGGAGTTGAAGACCAGCCTGGGAAACGTGGTGAAACCCTGTCTCTACTAAAAATACAAAAACTAGCTGGGCATGGTGGTGCACACCTGTAGTCCCAGCTACTTGGGAGGCAGGCTGAGGTAGGAGGATCACCTGAGCCTGGGAGGCGGAGGTTGCGTTGAGCCGAGACTGTGCCACTGCACTCCAGCCTGGGTGACAGAGCCAGACTCTGTCTCCACGGAGACCTGGTTGACAGGGCAGGCCAACCAGGTGCCCATCTGTGCATGCTTCCCTGCCCTGGCCCCCTGCAGCCGTGGCCTGTGGGGCACAGTACCCTTGAGGCCTCACAGGGAGAGCCCTGTCTTGTGCTGACTCCCAGGTTGATGGAGGCCTTGCAGAGGATGAGATGCCTCAGGGCCTGCCCTTCCCCTGTGACTGGGCGGATTCCCATGGGTGTCATCCCAGCGCTGAGTGCACCACCTGCGTTCCAAGGGCCTCGTGCATGTCATGTCAAGAGCATGGCCAGAGCCTTATCTGGGAGTCACAGTTCCGTGAGAAGGCTCAGCCTCATTGCCCTGCCTGTATGCTTGGCATGGTAGGGAAAGGAACAGTGAAGACGGCGCTGCCACCACAGGTGCCTGTAGAAATGCCCCGTCATCCTCTGATACCTGCTGGCCAGGTGTTTCATAACAGGGCTGTACTACTCTTGACATCTGCTGTGTCTATCTTTCATAAAGATTTTGAATGCAGTAATCCTGAATCTGTCCGGTTTTCCTTGTAACACAGTACTTTGTCATTTTCTTTCAAGTTTGAGAGGTCACATTTTTCATCATCGTGCAATCTGTCATGATTCCAGTTGCGTAGGTTATGACGCCCTGCAGGAGTCAGAACGTTGTGCAGAGACAGTGAGCTGTGGTTTCTCTCTTACAGCATAGGATATCCGACGGGATCCTGCTCGCCAAATGCCTGACCGTGTTGGGATTTGTTATCTTCGTGTTTTTCCTCAATTCGTTTGTCCCTGGCATTCATCTTGATCTTGGTGAGTCTAATTTAGCTTTTGTTCATAGGCTTTGTCACGTTCTGGATGGGGAGGTTTCAGAGTCTGTTCCCAGACACTGACTTCACCCACGGGCAGCTGGGCTGGTGGGAGGCCAGAGAGGTTTGAGATGGAGGGTGGGCAGCCGGCCCTGGGAAGAAGGCGCCTTTCCTTTTGGTTTCCTGGGCAGGAGGGAGGGAGAGAGAGATGCATCTCCAGCCCCTTGGACTCTGTGCCGTGGGTCCTCGGCCCCTCCAGGGATGCCCATGAGGAGGAATGTAGAGTGGGCACTGTCCTGTCTATTGTAGTTAATTACCACATCTGTACATGGTTCCCAGAAGAGACAGGAGCCACATGGGCAAGGCCAGCGCTGCCCTCTGTGCCGCCTGCCGTGCCAGTTAGGTGACAGCCTGTTCAGGAGTTCGGGAGAGCCCTGGCGAATGGTCAGCACTCTGCAGGGCCCACTTGCCTCGACTGAGGGTGCATCTGGCCCATGAAACTGTTCTCCCACCAGCCACTGTTGGTTTCTCTTCTCCCACTTTCACCACACCCATGGCTCTCAGACCTCTCCACTTTCTCTAGCCTGTGTCATGGCCAGGACCTGTCCCCACCTGAGATGTGGCTCCCTCAGGGGGAGCTCACCACAGAGCTTGTCAACCCCTGGCCTCCTCCACCCTCCATAAACGTTCTCCATTCTCCTAGGCGTTTGTCAATTTCACAGTTATCTCCATTGGTGTCCTTATTGAAAACAAAACAAAATCCACCCACATGAAAGTGTAGGTTTATAAGAAGCATAAATTTGAGGTGGGGTCATAGTCTTTTCTTTTACCAAAGCTTTACCCATAGTTTTCCTTCAAAAGTGAATTCTGCTAAGATGGTTAAAATATCCAACTTTTATCTTATTTTGTATAAAACCTTGATTCACTGTGAAATTTGAGGAGTGCAGCTGCCATAGAAAGCGAAGCCTCTTAATTGTGTAAAATAGATGGATAATGCCGCAAGCTTCAGTGATTCGCACCACATTATTGCTTCTGGGGTTCCTGGAAACCATCAGAAATTCATGGGCCAGAAGCTGATTTTCCTTTTCTCTTATGTAAAAAAGCCACATTTCTAGATTCTCATACAACACATGATGTACGTGCTTTTGACTGGAGGTCCAGCTTTATGTTATGTATTCACAGCCCCTCAATTTCTTTCCCTTGATAATTTCAAATCCGACTTGCCAGGTGTCCTGGGCTTGGTTCAAGCTGGCAGGTATTATATATCCACACCTGAGAGCCGGTCTGCTTAGAATCCTGATGAGGTAATGATCCAAAGCTGGAGTGGTAACGGTACTGTGAATTTCAATTGTATTTGGTGGACTACATCTAGAAATTGCTGCAGTGTAATTATTTTTCATTACACCTCAGGCCGAATGTAATTTTAACATTAGAAACCTAATGACTAAAAGAATGTTAGGTAGTCACCACTGGTAATTACACATTTAAAAAACTAGTGTTTTGTGGGCAGAGAGGTTCCATTAGGTGTTCACAGATAATTTTGCTCCTTATTTGAGAGTCTACTTTAGAAGAACATAGCAGGCATTTTAAAAACTAAAAAGATACAAGAGCTTGCATTCAATTTTATTAACATTTGGCAACAGTCCTTGTATAAAAAACAATAATACGTAAAGTCACATCTTTAACTATATGGACTTTAAAAATCTTGGTTACTATGAAACTTTTAGCCGGGAAGTCTACATTTTTTACAAAATGTCTCATCTCCTTTTGTGTGGTTGTTACATCTGTGGATGATGGTCATGTTTATTTTCTGCTTTTAAATCCTGTTTTGTTTTTAGTTGGGGTTTGCGTTCAGGTGATTTTATCTGGGGATCCAGATATTTGCATATTCATCAAGATAAGTTAGGTTGACTAGGAGAAGAGTTTGATTGGCATATATTTTAATGGAATACAGTTTCCTTAGAGTGATAAGAACTTTTCTGATAGAACGGGGGCAAAATGGACACAAGATCTTCCCAGGGCTTCAGCCAGTAGCAACGTGATCATTTATCTTTGGCGAAGTTCTGTTTTCTTTTTAATTTTTTTACATGTAACAGTGTTTTTTAAAAATATTTTTGAGACAGAGTCTCACTCTGTTGCTCAGGCTGGAGTGCAGTGGTGCAATCTCAGCTCAGTGCAGGCTCTGCCTCCTGGGCTCAAGCAATTCTCGTGCCTCAGCCTCCAAAGTAGCTGGGATTACGGGAATGCGCCACCACCCCCGGCTAATTTTTGTAGTTTTAGTAGAGCTGGAGTTTCACTGTGTTGGCCAGACGGATCTCAAACTGCTGACCTCAGGTGATCCTCCCACCTCAGCCTCCCAAAGTGCTGGGATTATAGGCATGAGCCACTACGCTTGGCCAGGAGTTCTGTTTTCAGTGTGTCCTGCTGTTTAAGTTGGACCTTGTTCAATGTGATGTCATATAACATGAAGTGACGTCATATCACACGATGTGCATGATGTAACACATGACATCATCTAATACAGTACACACACTGTCCACTACGTGACATAACACAGTGTAATAGCATATAACACAGGGTGCTGTCATGAAAAAATAACGCGTTATGAAACAAAATGTGACATCAGATAACATTCCTTCATTTAGGAATCCTAAACTAGACACAGCATTGACTCTTTCTCTTTGTTTTTTTTTTTTTTTAATTATCATAGAGCAAAACTGACTTTTCCTTTGGATGTAGCTTTCTATGGATTTTAACACATAAGTAGATTTATGTAACTGCCACTGCAGTCAGAGTACAGGACAGCTCTGTTACAGACCTTTCTCAGCTGTTCTTTCGTGGCCACCCTCCCCCGGTCCTGGCAAGGACTGATCTTGTCTCCATCCCTATGGTCTTGTGTTTTTGGGGCTGTCGTATACACAGAATCGGATCGTACGCCACCGTTTGAGACTGGCTTGTCTCACACAGCGTAATGCCTCTGTGGTGCACCCAAGTTACTCTGTGCATCAGTAGTTCATTGCATTTGGCTGGGCGTGGTGGCTCACGCCTGTAATCCCAGCACTTTGAAAGGCCAAGGAGGGTGGACTGCTTGAGCCCAGGAGTTCGAGACCAGCCTGGGCAACATGGCAGAATCCCGTCTCTACAAAAAATACAAAAATTAGCTGGGCGTGATAGTGTGTGCCTGTAGTCCCAGCTACTTGGGAGGCTGGGCAGGAGGATTGCTTGAGCCTGGGAGGTGGAGGTTGCAGTGAGCTGAGATCCCACCACTGCACTCCAGCCTCAGTGACAGAGCCAGACCCTATTTCAGAAAAACAAAAACAAAAACAAACCCAAAAAACTACTCTAGACACTTCTGAGTACATAGTTTTCTGTGAACTTCGGTTTTTATTCTCTGGGTTGATTTCCTTCTCTAGAGTGGCACTGCTGTGTCATACGGTGGGTGTGGATTTTATTTTAAAAGAAACTGCCACCCCGTTTTCTAGTGAGGCCAACCCCTTTGCGTTCCCACAGCATGTATGGAGTTCCAGCTGCCTCGCACCCTGACTAGCACATGGAACAGTGAGAATCCCCCTGGAGTTCCACAGCACCTTCTGCAAACCGTAAATACATTCTCTTGATTTCTTTCCTCCTCTGTCTTCTGACCTCCCCCTTCCCAGCTAGACTCAAGGACCTGGTCCGTGTGCCTGCATTTCCCCTTCCTGGTGCCTGGTGCTAATGCCTGGTTCATTAATAGAAGCAAGGTGTAGGTTTAAAGGATTTTCGAACAAACTTCTTGTTACTGCTCGCAGATTCCAACTTAACTATTGTGGGAATTTCCTATGTGGCTGACCCAGTCAGGGGCACAGCCTGAGGCAAAGGCTCACATGTGTGTTCTTCATCCAGGAGCTTCATCCCAGGGAAGAGGAGTGAGGGATGGGGGCCGGGCAGTGAGGAGAGCCAGCGCAGGCACCACTGCCCCAGCGTGCTGGCCTTTGTGACAGGCCACTGGAGCTCCATCCTGCAGGGCTGTCTGAGTGGAGGTACCAAGTGCATCTCAGGGCTGTTTGTGGGGTTGAGTAGAGCAGGAAGGAATGTTTACTGGCTGATGCGCATGGCCCATTGGTCTCAGCTCCTTCCCGTGGGATGCCAGAGTGCATGTGTCCAGCTGCATGTGCCGAGGCCGTGCGACCACACCCACAGGGCGGCCCAGGCGGAGAAGGCATCAGGGCATGGGCTCCAGGGCAGGCCTTCTGGGTGCATCTGTGTGAGGGTGGTCAGGCCACGTGGAGCTGGCTGTGGTGACAGGAGAGCCCTGAGGGACCCAGGGGTGTGCAAGAGGTGGCACAATGGCAAAGAAGGGTGAGCAAGGGCCGGGGTCACAGTTCACACCCATCCGGCAAAGAGGTGGCTTCCGACGTGCAGGGACCATCACCTCACAGCACGCAGGACCGAGCCCAGCCTGGGCGCCGGCTCCACCGCGGTCTGCAGTCCCTGCGTGAGGCCCTTGGTGCCAGATGGTTTCGTGGGGGCCAAGGGAGACTTTTCCCCTTGGGGCCTCTTGAGTTTCGCTGAAAAAACAACTAACAGCAGGCAGAGTAATAGGAGAAAAGGCGCACACATTTATTTAACGTGCGTACACAAGAATCTTCAGAATGAAGACCCAGAGATACAGGAGACATTGACCATGTTAATATTTAGGTTCAACCAAGTGTGGAGAGCCAGGTAGAAATGGGATTGGAGAAAAAGGGGTATGACTGGGTGCTGATAGACTGCGTGGGAACCCCAGCAGGGCCTGTCTGTCCAGAATCTTGCTGGCCTGTCTGAGCAGCACTCCTTCTTTCTGGGTGTGGGGCAGGCCCCTCTCTGGAATGGGGTCGTAGGACCTACGGTCAAACAAGGCAGGCCAGACCGTTTCTTCATGGCCGGTTTTCACACAGAAAGGCGGGGGGATACAATGAGAATAACACTTTAGGTTTTATGGCTGGCTTTGGAGAAAAGAGTTCTGGTTTCTATGACCTGCCTTGGGAAAGAGGGATTCTAGTTTCTTTGGCAGCCTCGGGGGAGAATGGGACTGAGAGATGGGCAGGCAGGAGGAGGGCAGAGAAAACTTTCTTCTGATGAAACAAAAACTTCAGCTGAATTAAATTTAAAGGAGTTTAATTGAACAATGAATGATTTGCAAATCGGACAGCCCCCAGAATCACAGCAGATTTACTGTGGAAACTGCTCATCAAGGCTCTAATGAGACTAACAAGTCTAAGAGACTCCAGGGGTGCCTTTGGTCAGAACAAACTTATAGACAAAAAAGGTAAAATGACGTACGGGAGTCAGAAGTGAGGTACAGAAACAGTGAGATTGGTTACAGCCCGGCGATTCCCTTATTTGAACACAGTTTGAACATTCAGCAGCCTATGAGTGGTTGAAGTATGGCTGTGGGGACTGGCCGACACTCGGCCATTGTTAGAGATGCATACTGTTAAGATAGGCTTTCACTTTGTCTAACTGTTAAGCTAGGTTACGGTTCATCACAAGGACTCAAATACAGAAGCCCAGAGTCCTTCTCAGGCCATCGTTAACTTGCTTTAACGCTTCCGAGACCTTCATTTTGGGGTATTGCTTTCTGAGCCCCAGAAGTTTCAAAATTCAGATTTCTTTGTGGTTTTAGAAAGATAATTCAGTGAACATACTGAATTTTGGATATGATGTAACACACTCTGAGAGGTTCAGGGCCGCACCCTGTCATCCGAGCATGATTTCCGCAGCGAAACACAATTATTTACACAAAATGGGACAAATAAAGACTGCAAACAACCTCATTCCTGTTCAAGTCAGGAGTTTTTGAATTTTTTACATCAAAACATATAGAAAAAGTTTGCTTTTCTGAAATTAGGGCTTCAAGATTGTGGATAACTGATTATGAACCTATGAAAAGAATCAGCAAGGCAGGCTTGAAAATGTTATCTTTGGCCTTAAAATTTAGAGCCTTGATGAGCAGTTTCCTAGGCCTCCTCCTTTGATAATTAGTTCAGAATGTACCCCAGATTCTCTCATGATGTGTTTGATTAGATTTCAGTTCTGGAAAATTTTCCGTCATTATTCCCCTGATTATGGTTTTGAAATTGCTGGTCTTCTCCGTGTCCCTTGGTGTCCCTCTGGTGGAGCAGTTTTATTGTTGTCTTTGTGAAAGTATTTTTAGCTACAGATAAAGCAATCTATTGGCTCTGTCTTAAGCAAAATAGAGGATTATTAGAATAATAACAGGCCGACAGGCTCCAAGGGCACGGGGCCCCTCAGGGGCAGGCTCAGGAAGGAGGAAGGGTCAAGATGGAGGGCGCCCACCGCCCCGGCCTCTGCAGTGCTCTGTCCTCAGCCCCTCGCTTCTCTGCGACCGGTTAGTGCATCTTTTTTCTGCTCATGACAGAATAGTGGTTGCCTCACCAGTTTCCCAGTTTATAGGACTTCGATTTCAGCCACACCCAGAGAAAAGGCTATTTTGAATACCCAATTCCCAGGTGAAGAGGAGTCTGCTTGGCCTGGTTGGTTTCTTTCGTCTCCTGGCACAGGAAATTCTGAGCAGGCGGGCAGGAGCAAGTGGTGAGACGTGGCCTGGGGTGGCTGAGGCATACTTCTTAGAGGAGGTCGCTATGAGTTGGACAGACATTCCCAAGGCTTCCTGATAGATATTCTATGCACTCTAGTTTCTAGTGAGATTCATGTCAGCTAAGCCATTCATATATCCATCCTCTCACTCATTCATGCGTTTGTATGACACATGCAGGCAGTGGCCTCGGGGTTGGTTGGGGCTCGTGTGGTGAACATAAAAACCACATTGCTGCTCTCCTAGGTCGTCTTCTCTAGAGGGGAGATGGATCTGTATTTATTCTACCAGGGGCTCACGTAACTGTCCACAGGGTTCCTCTTGCCCGCCGCCCAAGGAGACCAGATTTATGGAGGCAGAGTTACTGCAGTAGGGACGGAGTTTTACCCATGTAGAGCTGGCTAAATGGAAGACTGGAGTTGTGTTATTACTGAAATCAGCCTCTCTGATTCGGAGGCTCGGGTTTTTCAAGGACAGTTTTGGGGAAGAATGGCAGGGAGGGTGGCTAGGCAGTAGGCGCCTGCAGCCAATCGGTCGAGGGTGTAAATCACAGGGGTGTGGGAAATGGTTCTTCTGCACGCAGAATCACTTCTGGGTAAGCCGCAGGAGCAGCTGGCCAGTCCAGATGGAGCCATCAGTCTCAGACATGCAGAAACCCTGAAAAGGTATCTCAAAAGGCCAGTCTTAGGCTCTATGATAGAGATGCTATCTGCAGGAGTAACTGGGGAAGTTGCATATCTTGTGACCTCCTGAATAATGGCTGGTAATCTTCTACGTCTACACTTTAGCAGAATTCAGTGTCTCCTATCCTCCTATCCGGGTGTTCTTTGATTAGCTTTACAAATGCAGTTGAGTTTTGGGGAAGGGCTGATATCATTTAAGCTATAAACTAAATGTCTGCCAAAGTTAACTTGCCTTAAGCCCAAGAACAATTAAGGGCAGCTTGAAGGCTAAAGGCAAGAGGGGGGTTGGATAGATCAGATCTCCCTCACTGTCATAATTTTCTCACTGATACAATTTCTGCAAAGGTGGTTTCAGTCACATTAGGGGCAGCGAGGACCACACAGCTAATGTAAACACCAAGACCTTCAGAGCTCTGATGCAGAGACAGGCCAAGGGTACCAAATGGGAAAGCCCAAAATGATAATTTCCATAGCCAAGGTGTCCATGAAAAGAGTGAAACTCTGTAAATTATTTGAAGAGATCTATCCTGAGACAAAAATGAGTGACCACGGCCTGCGACACCACTCCAGGAGATCCTGAGAACGTGTACCCAAGGTGGTTGAGTTACAGCTTGATTTTGTACATGTTAGGGGGACAGAAGTTACAGGAAGACGTTCATCAATACATGTAAGGTGTGTATTGGTTCAGTCCAGAAAGGCGTAACAACTCGAAGCAGGGGGCGGGGTCATAGGTGGATTCAAAGACTTTCTGATTGGCCATTGGTTGAAAGAGTTAAGTTATTATCTAAAGTCCCAGAATCAATAGAAAGAAGAGCCTGGGTTAAGATATGGGGTTGCAGAGACCAAGGGTTTTACCATGCAGATGAAGCCTCCAGGTGGCAGGTTTCAGAGCTCTTATCAGACCTAAAAAAATACCAGAGTCTTAGGGAAAGGATCTGGAAAGGGAAGGGGATTCTCCACAGAATACAGATTTTCCCCACAAAAGACAGCTTTGCAGGGCCATCTCCAAATGTGTCAAAGAAACGTATTTTGGGGTAAAACACTTGGATTTCTTTCAGGGCCTGCTGTCTGTCATGTGATGCTGTACCAGACTCAGGCTGGAATTTGGTCTCTCATTGGTATGCCTGTTCTATCAGTCTTAAGATCCCTGTTTTAATACGAATGCTGGTCAGTTGTGCCTGAATTCCAGAGGGAGGAGGGTACAGTGAGGCACAGCTGACCCCCTTCCCTCCCATCATATCCTGAACTAGTTTTTCGGATTTCTTTGAAATGTCCTTGGCTGAGAGGGGGTCCGTCAGTTGGTTGAGGGGCTTAGAAATTTGTTTTTGGTTTACAAAGTTACAGATGAGAGGCCTAATGAAATCCACAAAAGAAATGAGCAGCTCTTACTGGAAAGGCTATGGCATATTAGAAAAAATCCTTGATATATGTAAACTATTTAAGTCAGTTATTATATACAGCTTGTGTTAACCTGATAATAAAAATATTTAAATTCCTAGATGGCTCTATTCTAATTTTCATCAAATATTCATCTTAAATGAATGTAAATATCCAAGAAATTATTTCAGAATGATGATATAATGCAATATAAGGTAATGTAATATGATGTAATATAATATGGACCTTGGATTTATAAGTCAATTAGAATAATTAGCTTCTTTCCTT